CTATTTTTTCCCCCCCCCCCCCCCCCCCGGTATTTATACACAAGGTAAGATCCTCCCAAGCTTTCTTTTCTCCAGGCTGAACAATTGCAGCTCTCAGCCTCTTGTATGACAGATGCTCCAATCCCTTAATCATCTTCATGACCAGCTCATGTTCCAGATCTGGAACTCTGGCCAGGAAGTCAAGCTAGCTGGTTTTGTACCAGCTTTCTAACTTCTCTTACACTATATGATAGAGGCAGTACTTTAACTATACCAAAGTCTTTTCCTCTTACAGGCTATTTTCTTAGTTTAACATATTGCCCTAGTCTAGATTTAGTAACTTACTATGATTTTTACTTCTTTGTGGAAAGACAAGTGATTTGAAACTCAGAGGGGGTCACAAGCCAGTAAGTCATTGCTTGGAGAGAACTCATTTTGTCAGAACAGATAAGCTTCTGTTTACTTTCTTGTTGCTTTACCCTTTACGGCACATTAACAACAGAGTACTTCAATTTTCTACAGCTGTGTCAAGAACATTACTACATTTGTGCTATAAATACATGACTTGTTGGCTGAATAACGCAATTGTTGCACTTTAAAGACATTTTAATGTACCACACTAGGGAGTGTGTTACAGCATTTCTAGTTAGCTTGTCTATAGCAAGCTATGTAATAACTGCGAAGTTTATAGCAACTATGTAAGATGATGTAAAGAGCAGAATGCATGCTGTAACATTCAGAACAGCCTATTCTACAGCTTTTTTCATAAAAGTCTGATACATCAGCTAATTAAGTACAGGAAATAGTTTTAATCAATAGGCAATTTTTTCAATGAATAATCTTTGAGCTTTTAAAGCTCCTTGGTAACAGACAGACTGTAAAATGCTTGTTCTAGTGAACTGAACCACTTTAAAACATGCCTCCTGTATAGCAGAAAGGACTCAAATACTAAAAACCAAGAAAAAAAAAACCCACAAAATATAAGTTTAATTACTACTTCAGAACATTCCAAAAGAGCCGAGACAGTACTAAAAAAAGGAAAAACTAACACTGTAACAAGACTTAAGTATAGTACTCCAGAATAGCAATGCATCTTTCATCAGATTTATAAACAGGGTATCACTAGTTTAGAAAACATCCAACACCTATATTTATTTTCACAAACGTGAAGTGTATGCTATTGGAAATAAAATGTTAGAATGGTCACTTAAAAGCAGCAAAGCTGAACTTAACACCTATTTGTTCCTATGTTTAACTTGGTAGCATTGATGACATTGTAAATGATCAGTTTCGTTACTGACATCTACAACTGCAATGTTATAAAAGCAGCAACAAACCAAGGTTAGACATTTCAAATGAGTTAAACGCACTTCTGAAATAAGACATGTATACATTTTTATGTAAGGGGCTATGAAACATGAGAACAGCAAACAAGAATTATGCATGAAATGAAAATAGACCAAAAGAGAATGTGGGAGAAAAAGCAAATCCTGATAAAAATTAATAAGCAGTACAAGACAGACACTTGGACAAATGTTGGATTCAAATACGAAACCATTTACCATTGAAGTGCAAGGCTGAAGTCACAAATTAATGTTCTTTAAGCTCTATTCCTAGACTAAATAAAGCTCAAAATAATACTGCTTGCTTCCACTGCACACATCTAGTAGTTCCACAGCATGTTGTAATAGCATTTGGTACAAACTTGTATAAAGTTGATGTTTTAATCATTAGTTGCTGGTGCAGTAAGATCTTAAAAATTCTTTAAGAGTTAGATGGTAATAAGACAGACAGTTAACAGACAAAAAAAAAATTGTCCAAGCCTAAAACCTGCTGGTTTTCCTAAGGTAAAACACTGCAGTCAGTACAGTTGTCAGATATGTTCCCTTGCATTAATGTAACAGAAGGTATAGACTATTAAAACTACTGTTCCAATGGGATAATCACTACAGCAATGAAAACTATTATTTAAAGTCAGTATTTTGATTTTGCTATTCCATATTTACTGCAAGATGATTGACGCCAAAGAAGTTGTTACAGAAATAAACTGCGCCCTTTAGTTCAAAGTACTGCTGCAATCACAATTAGAGCAATGTCCAGTTTTCAAGACTGTACTGGTTATCAGAATTGCTAATTGCACCCCAACTGCTCACATTCTGTACGTTAACAGTCTGGCCATCAGCTACTATCTCAGGTACGCCAGATTTACAGAGGTCTCTACTCAAGAGTATACTTAAAGATGCAAATTTAAGTTCAGTATTTAAAACTGACTCACTGAAATAAGATCAGAAATCTGATTGTTCTCAGTAGAAACTAAGACTGACCTAATCTAATAATCCTGTTGCAATATTTACATATTCAATATGCAAATGTCTTAAAGATACTAATCGAAATCAGTTCCAACTTAGCCATGAAAAGTAAAAGCCAGGTGAGTGGCATTACCTTCTCACAAACACTGTTTTCTGACCTCACAGGGAATATGAGCAATAAACATATGTATCAAAAATCCACCTAGAAGTAATTGAAATAACTGGTACTCACTTTTCATAAGCAAAAGAATCCTTAACTTTTTGAAAGTGGATACATTTGTATCAATTGAAGTATTCAGCAGATTAATCTTTAGTAAAGCTTGCTCTAAAAATGGAGTCACAATATACTGTATACAACCATGCTTTAAGCCACCAGCCCTCACAAATCCCAAATTCTTAGCAATGTAATAGATGTGTTTTCTAGCCACTCTTTTTTTAACACAATAAATCTTACCACTAGAAGAGAAGCCATACAGAAGATATCAGAAGTTTTGTTTCATGTGCTTTATAGAAAATGCTTGATTAGTTTTAGAAATGCTTAAGGTTCACTTGAATATGTTTACAAACAAAGATCTTGAACATTTATCAGACAGGTACTCCTTATGAACCCCATGAATGTACATTGATAGGAAGTTACAGCTACGTGCAACAGTTCAAGAAACCCAGATTAACTCAGTAATCCCATGCACCCTGAATCTAAAGTTTATGTAACACACTTTTCTTAAAAACTGCCTTTTTTTCTCTATAAACTGCTCAACAGATTAAAAAGGAACATGGTACTTCATCAGCTAAAGGAAGTAGTATGAATGTAACTTATACAGTTAAAATACCTTATAAATACAGTTAAATTGTATAAGCATAAAATCCAAAACCACATCCTCACATTAGCTTCATAGAGAGATAAAAGCTAAGACAGCATTGCAACTATTCAAGTGAACCTTGTACTCAGAAGTCCCGAACAGCAATTTCTAGATACCTCTATTTTTGAGACATTGTGGGAGACTAGTTCACTCATCTTAGAAAAGGCATATAGCAGGACAAATAGTGGCATGATTTCCTGTTCCCAGAATCGCTGTTCTTTCTTATTCCTGAGTTTTTAACCCATTGCAAGAAGAGCTTCATTTATTGAAAGAAACACATAGCTAACTAAGGAATAACCTACTGTATGTGTGACAAATTATGTATATGTACTGGAATCTATATTCCATATACTCTGGAAAAATTTATGCTTCCAGAGATGCTCACTTTGGAAGCTACAAATAGTTTACTGTGTAGGCATGTCAATCTTCATCTAAAGAACTTTATTATCAGAGTGCACTATGGCAGGTACTGCACTGACCATGCTTCTACTGACTCAGCTGTTTCAAGTTATTCTCATGAGAAACAGATGCTGCTTACGTTGTTTTGATCTAATGAGTTATACCTTCTTGTGTATTTTGAGACCTAGAATTAGAGTCTTGCATTCTTTTAATCTCATCTGAGAAAAATCTATGGGAAGGGAACAAGAAGCAAGGAAGGATTTTTCTCATTCTGCTTCTCTCCAGAGTAGAGAACACAAAGTTACCAAAAAAAACCGCTAGACTGATGTCTGGCCTCATGGAAGTCTATGGGAATTTAAGAGACATTGACAGGGCCAGGATTTCACACTGCATTTTAATTCCATGACTGCCACCTCAAATATGCAAACTGTTCCCTTTGCTAGCACAACTGTATTTATTCAGCATGTATCCTTTATAAAAGGAGGAGACTGGCTGTTTAGTTTTGTACTCTGATGAAGCTCAATGTCTAGTTAAAAATTTAAGAAAACTTGAGGAAAGGTGATGAATCCCAAGACAAAATTCAACCCAGAATTTTAAACACGTGTGTCCCCTGTCCCACATGGTTTAGTTACACCCTAGTGTTTTACAAAATAATAACTTTCTTATAAATAGAGGAATTAACAATCAATATTTAATTTTTAAGCTGGCTTTCCTTTTTTCTTGGGTGGACCTTTGTAGCCTTTGGCCTTTCTTCGCAAGTTTCTCCGATCTACAATGGGTACCTCAATTTCTGCTTCCTCAGAGCTGCTGTCAGCTCGTTCCGCTGCTGTTTGCATGTACTGCTCCATCTGCTCAGCAGACTCTTCTGAGTGCTCTTCCAACTGGTTCTTCTGTCCTTCTTGTCCAGAAGGCTGCTGAAAAGAAACACCCTCAAGTTCAACCACTATCAAAGAGCTCTGACCCAAAGCAACAGAGGCCTCCTGTGAGTTGTGCCCTGCTTCCTCATTTTGACCTTCCAATGAGGAAGCTGTTTTGGGCAATACGTTTTCAGAAACAGATTGTTCTGCTGCTTCAGTTACCATAGAGTTGGTCAGGCCATTGTCAGAGGGCTCATCCTTCGATACCGAAGCAGCTGCATTTTCAGTGATGGTCTTTTCAGATTCCTGCTCTTCTTCAGTGCCCTCCTCCACTGATGTACTTTCTTCAGTCAGCACTTCTGAATCATTTGCATTTAAAACCTGCAGGGGGAGGGGAAGGGTGCCAAAACAACCAAAAGGACAATAAATAGAAGATCCAAGAGGCTGAACAAGTACTGCCCCTAGCTAGCAACCTCAGAGGGTATTTTGGCATTCAGCAGTTTTTAATACAACATGTACAATCAAAAAGCCAGTCTTTTCCTCCTTTTTGCACGAGACTATTTTGTGAACTGCATTTGATACCCAGAGTTGTGCTCTTATTTTCAAGAGGAAATTATTCAGAGGATTATTCAGGTACAGTAAAAACATTCTCACATTAATCCCATGGAAAATAAGTAACTTTTTATTTTAGACATACAGAGTTATCATTCTGATAGCATATAACAATCTGCTTTTGCACTATAAACAAGAACCAGTAAAATCTGTGTTCTAAAAGGGTATTTTACCCTTGCTTGTACACTTCAAGACAGAATTACTAGATGTGTTTGTTTTGGCTGGGATAATTTTCTTCATAGTAGCTAGTATGGGGCTAGGTTTTGGATTTGTTCTGGGAACAGTGTTGATAACACAGGGATGTTTTAATTATTGCTGAGCAGTGCTTACACAGAGTCAAGGCCTTTTCTGCTTCTCACACCACCCCACCAGCAAGCAGGCTGGGGGGGGGCACAAGTTGGGAGGGGACACAGCCAGGACAGCTGACCCAACTAACCAAAGGGATATGCCAGACCATATGACATCATGCTCAGCATATACAGCTGGGGCAAAAAGAAAGGGGGGGACATTTGGAGTGATGGCGTTTGTCTTCCCAAGTAACCATTACACATGATGGAGCCCTGCTTTTCTGGAGATGGCTGAACACCTGCCTGCTGACAGGAAGTGGTGAATGAATTCCTTGTTTCGCTTTCCTTGCGTGCACAGCTTTTGCTTTACCTACTAAGCTGTCTTTATCTCAACACATGAGTTTTCTCGCTTTTACTCTTCATGTTCTCTCCCCCATCCCACTGAGGGGGAGTGAGCGAGTGGCTGTGTGGTGCTGTCGTGGTTTCAGCCCAGCCGGTAACAAAGGACCACGCAGCCACTCGCTCACTCCTCCCGCCCCCCTCCGGTGGGATGGATGGGGAGGAGACAGAGGAGAGAAGAGGAAAAAAAACCTGGAACCTCGAGGGCTGAGATAAAGGCAGTTTTCTGGGACAACACAAAAAAGGTTACAACAGCATACAACGGTACTAATGAAAGAGTATACAAAAAGAGTGATGCACAGTGCAACTGCTCACCACCCGGGACCAGACGCTCTGCCACTTCCCCCACCGAAAGTCGAGAGAGGAGCCCCCACCCCCCCCCATCCCGGCCCGCTCCCCATTTATATACTGAGCATGATGTCACATGGTATGGAATAGCTCCTTGGCGAGTTCAGGTCAGCTGCCCCGGCTATGCCCCCCACCTCCCAGGTTCCTGTAAAAATTAACCTCTATCCCAGCTGAACCCAGGACAAGTGTTTAGCTGCCTACTGGGGTTATTAAACCATGACACTAGACAAAATAAGGATGTGGCTTTTCACTCATAACCAACTAATATTTTAGTGAGAAAGAGCCATTTCATTACTGCCAAGGCAAATTGGAGCAATGTATCTTTATTTCTGGTATCACACACATATATGCCCCACTTCTGCATGTTAGAACAGAAACACTAGTATATTCTGTTTATGGATTTACATCATCTGATGTAATAATTGCTTCTCCCATGAATTTCATATGACAGTAGGGGCTACTTTCTATCTGTTACTTAACAAAAGAAAAAACAGCAAGATATGTACACTCTGAAGGAAAAATGACTTCACTTTTTTTTCAATTCTCTCACCTTCTCTGATACAGTGTGTTCTGAAGGTTTTGCCAGAGACTCAAGGATTAACGGAACAAACAGCGTTAAGGGTTCTTCTCCTTGACTTCCAGACTGCAATTTTGATTCACCACTTGAAACTTCATTTGCTGGTTCCTCTTCAGCCATACGTGAGGTCTTACCAGTTTCTTCTGTTACCTCACCATTAAGAGGTTCTGATGGAGATTCCTAAAAATCACATTGCTAAGTCAAGATTATGCTCACCCATTGTTCCTCAACACTAGTGGGTGTATCTGTGATCTAAATTTGCAGCTTAATGTGAGAAGCAGATAGCTCAGGTACCTAGAAATGTGTACTAAGAAGGTAGAGCTTAGTGCAGAGGAGTTAACTTGACCAGCATATTAGCTTGGTGTTGTCACCTGCACTAAATTTCTGACCATAGCTTACACTGTTAGGAGTCAAGCCAAGCAGTTTTTATGCATCTCACAAACATACATGCAGCAGTCATTCCTTGAACCCAACATAGTGTAAGATCCACTTTCTCACGAATCAGTAAGAACATATAACTCTGGAGACATCATTAGGCACAAAGGGTACTCACAGATTTAAATTAAAGCTGTTAATTTGTAGATAAAAGTTGGATTTAAACATCAAAGCAGGCAAGCTTGAAGTGGAGCAACAATAGTCACTGAAGCATACCAGCTACTGGCTTCTTCAAAGAAAGGTTGTTTTTTTAAATTAGAGATACTGAGTCAGATCTTGACCAGAATATTTGAGTAGGAGAAATCAATTAAGAAAATTAGGTTGGTAGACAAGCTAAAAATTCACCTTACCAAAGATCCTATGAACTCTATTGTTCAAAATAAGTATAATGGAATATTCCCTGACACTAATTCTATATTAGCCTTAGCTTCTCAGATATACTTCTCAATGAAGCATCAGTACAAAAATCAAAGAGTTGATAGTCACATGGATCAAGGCAGCAAGGACTATATTTAACAGAAACTGTAGTTGTATTCAAAACTTATCTGCTATTGCTGTCACATCCAGCTCACCTCCTTCTCACTTGTTTTCTCAGGTGGCGATACATGTAGCTCTTCTGATATAGATTGGCCCTCAACTTCAGTAATCACTTCCTCATCCTCAGTGTCCTCCTCAGATAATTCCAAGTCTTCAGAGCTTTCAGGTGTGTGGGCAGGAAGTTCCAGCCTGCAGCAGGTATTAAGACATATCCTTTAATCTTTTAGATTAATACGTAATTTTGGTGATCTCAGCAGGGAAATTCTTCATGACCAATTATAAAGTACTGCATCACATGCTTGCCATAGGAAATAAGAATCCAGAAGACTAAATACATCTAAAAATGGCTAACTCGTCATTAGGAAAAAAATCAACTAGGAAAAATTGTTTTGGCAATTATAAAATGAAGACATCTATCTCGCTTCTATTTTATGGGAATAGAAGTCAAATTTGTTTATTATTTTAAATTTAGAAAGCAGCAGTCATTATACATTTGGAAGCCAGAAAGGAAACAACTTCTCTCACTCTCACTGTAGAAACAGTTTAAAATTATGGAGTTAAAAGCAAATATGTTTGTATAATTGTTGAATATACATATATTAAAGACCATGACTGGAAAAGAATTCAAGGCAATAAACACACGGCTGAAGAAGATCAGCTAGAGATTAAATTCGCAAACAGCTGAAGATGAAGCTCTGATGCATCTGATGGATAGCAAAACTATCTCAAACATTCAGTTCTTACTTTTGAGATAAAAAAAATTAGACGAACTGGAAGTATTACATACAAGCAAAGAAAAAAGTACATGCAATAGATATGTAAGAGGCTGCTTCACAATCTCATAGTAAAGGCAGTATTGGAGGGTTTTATCCCAGGTGCCAGTCTTGAGATGAAGGCACTCCACAGGAGAAAGTCCCTGCCAGAAGACCCTGCTGCATTTGCTAATGTGCATGGAAGGAGAGAACCAAGTTGATATCCTGCCCTGTTGCCATCAGGATCCCCCTTAGCTCTGCTCAGAAACACCATGTTACACATCTTGTTCAAAGGAGCAGTGGCATCTTGTTGACTTCATTTTCCAAGGCCCAAAATACTGACATTCAATAACAGGCTAGTCCTCTCACATACCAACTAGCCAATTATTAGTAGCAATAGGGCAAAGAATTTCTCAACCTGTGACACTATCAAACCATGCCATTTGCCCTGTATGAATCAGCTTAAGGCAGCACAATGACAGTGCAGGACAGCAGTGCTGTATCTCTGTAGTTCCACAGAGCAACTTAAACACAAAAATTAGTCCGTATCTAGCTGAAGACCTCAGCTTCACATTAAAAAAAAAACACACAAAAACCCAAACAACTAATTTTGTTTAAAGAAACCTAGTGGAACAAGTTTGAGAGATTTCCTAGAAAATAATCAGGTTATCTTCAGTTCTTCAGAAGAGGTTTTTGAGGTTGCAGTGGGGGTTTTTTTTGAAGAGAATGAGAGAGGGAGAGACGGACATGGGGAGTCAGTGTGTGTCTATGAGCATACATATACTCACACAGAGGAAGGGGGAGGAAGAAGCTATTTATTTATTTTAAATAACCACAGTTCTGCTTTCTGGATGGAAGCCAGTGCAAATTAGTACTTCAGGCCCTGTCTTGTATGACTTACAGCACACAAGTGGCACAATTCTTCACATCCCCATTTGACAATTATTACACAGGATAGCATCCTTTAAACCAGAGATGACTATTTTTTTTCCAGGATATAAGTTTAGATATGATGGTTTTAAATTAGAATTAGTCTGAACAAAGGGCTTTACTTTGAAGCTGGGTGGCTCCCTATAACTCTTTTTTTATTAAGTGACAAGCAGGAACCAGCTCCCAAGCTATAAACAGTCAAAACTTTATTTTACTGCAATATGCCACCATAAAAAGAAGTAAGGAAGGGACACCTCTCCAAAGATCACACATAGCATTGTGGATACATGTCCAGTTATATTATTGCAACAAACTATGCTGTATGAATACAGATGTTTTAACCTTCATGCAGACTTAGTTATAACAGAAGACCCTCAGCCCTTGCTGTTTTGTTACTTTTACTCCCAGTATCTACCAAGCTTTCAGAGACGCTACGTTTTGGTGCAATTGCTCCTCAAGTGATGTCTCTATTTTCTCACATCAGGCTTTACTTTTAGTAATTTTAAAATCAAGCATGTAGAAAGAAGGAAGAAGTAGCAGCACAAGTAGCACTGTGAGACACTGTTATAGTTTGTGACTGTCCAAGCAACAAAACAAGAAATCAGTAAAATATGGGCTCCTCTACCTGCTTTCTGACCCATGAAGAGTGTTTTCCTCAACTCCTTGGGAAGTTTCAGGTTCAGGTTCCCGGCTACGTCTTCCTGTCTTGGGACGTTTTAGATGACTGCTTAGTACTCGAAGGGCAACAGGACCTGTGTTAAGACCTTAGGAAAAAAAAAAGCAAAAAGACCAAAATAAATGCAAGTGAACAAATGCAGTCTAAGATCTGCATGTAATTTTTCCCCCTAATATTTCATTAAAGAAACAGAGTGCAAGTAAAACAGCATTCATTGTGGTACTTTTTCTGAATACACATACATAACATGTTTACCAAGACTCCTAACAATTTTATCCAAAGTCATCTAAAAGATTTATGAGTTGAACCCCAGCACCTTAGAGGAAGGCATGTTTTTATACACTTTGCAGATGAATACACTGAGATTGAAAGCGGTAGAAGAGCCTGCAAACGTATTAATCCACAGTAGTCACAATACTGATAATCAATGTAATTTTTACCTTCAGATGTGCTTGGATGGACATCCATTGATTCTTTACCTTTTTGAGAGTCAGCCTGTGAAGCAAAAGCAAAGCCAACGTTATTTCAAAAACTTCTGAACTGACTGAAATATCTTCATCTCCCTATCTGTGGTTGCATCTTTCTAAAGCACTATTTCATAGCAATGATCCTACAGAACAGCAGCTACAAGCATTCTTAATTAAGATACCTACATACATGTGTCTTATCTCTCAAAAGATTTTTTTTAACTATCTTTATTACAAGGATGAATATTTATATCTGCATTTTACTTCTGGCCTCAACATAGAAGACAAGACTTGAAAGTAACCTGTCTTTATGAATAACCCTACCAAGATTTTTTCCTAACCATTCCATTTATAACAGGTGTCCACATAATTAAATGCTAGAAGTCTTTTTTTGTTTCCCCTTTCTGTATAAAGTCAAGGGACTGCACTACAGTAGCTGATAAAATTTAACAGGAAAGTTTTATTTTTATATTTGTATTCTATTTTGTAGTCTTATTTTTATCATGGCATGCAACAGAATACGGTAGCCCATGTAAAAAAAGAGATCAGTCAAAAACCAGAACTTGGTGATTCAGCAGTAATACAGGTTACATGCACAGTCAGCACAAGAGGCTGCTTACATCAGAGTTCCCTCTCCCTAGAGCTCTTTTGCCTCTTGCTCTTCCCCACCACCCCAGTATTTCCATTTTTTCTGCAAGTTAGCTGAAGACTCAGTGGTAAAGCACATGATAATCTGAACTGGGTACAAGCTGTACACATTATAATAAAGTTATGCACATTGCTCGCTCTTAGCTGCTGGAAGTAATCTAGAACTGGCAGTAACCAGCATCCAGGTGTTCTGCCACCTTTCAAGACTCACTTCCAGTACCACCCAAGAAGACCAGCAAAAAGTGGCAGTATCTACATTCTGCTGCTTGAAATAGTTTCAAATGACTTTTAAATAGATGAGAACTTGTAGACTAATGACGAATTATTCTAGCATCAAAATAAACAAAATAGGGAGCACTAAGTAAAAGGTGAAAATGAAAGTTGGGGAAAGTTTCTTCCTGGTTTGGGGGAAGGTGGGATATTTTTTGTTTGGTGGCCAGTTTTCAAAGCTTTGTAGAACTGCTTATAGATAGTGCAAGTGCCAAGGAGAGAGCTGCCAGCAATTCTACCAACCTATGAGGAGCTGGAGCACTTTGGTATCTACCATCTTCCTCTTCTGGAAAAAGGCAAGAGACAAGGCTTGAGTTCTTAACTCACAGCAACAAAAATTCTAAGAACTACTATCCCTCTGCTGTCTTCTCCAAGTATATCCATATAGCTCTGCAACCAAAACATTCATTCTTTAGATCATTTTACTGATATGACCATTATTGGAATCTGAATCTAGAACTCAGTGATGATGCTGAAGACACTGTTACAAATGAAAGACAACTAGGAGTTGTTGTTTCTGGTCACTTAGAGACTAAACACATCACTGCTTTGCTGTCAGTTCTGCTTTGGGAAACACTAATTTTCTCAACTGGGAAAAGGGAGATTTGACTTACATTACAAATCTAAAGTTTGGATATTAATAGCTGAGAGTATCGATTCAGCCATTATTTCCTGTTTTTAATTAAAAGTATTGACTTCTATGAGAGCATGGTCATGTCAATACTACAGACAGTCCTGAAAGCACACAAATCCATGCTCACTGTATTTGGAGCTCAGTTACTCTCAAGCACGTTCTGTGTGGCCTCAAAACACAAATGAGAGAGAAGAACAGGTTCATAATATTCAAAGACCCAATAATGACCACATATCCATATGTAGCTGAAATCTGGTTGATATTTCAAACATGTACAAAGAAAGCTGCAGTCCTTTTATATGGACAATATATAACTCTGACAAATGCAAACTAAACACTTTCCACTGTATTGAACTGTAATGTGAGTGTGTACTTCTGTAAACACTTTTCCTCATTCTCTCCACTCCTATGATGGCTCTACTGTTCAACAGTCTTTCTAGACAGTAATCTCAGAGCCAGTTGAAATAATCTCCCTTCTCTAAACTGCTAGCAAACAGCTCAAATTATAGACCCTGACAGCTGTGGCACAGACCCTCTACATTCATAGGGACACCCCAACCCTCTGCAAAAAAAAAAAAAGTTATTTTTAACCCCAGCTTAGTCATCAGTGTTACATCAGTGGGAAGCATAACATCCACTCAAAAAGTAACAAAAGCATTTGTCTTATATATAGTGCAGACCTGAGCCAATTCAATTATAATGAGGTGGACAAAAAGCATTTCTCATAATTTGGTTTTTAGTAACAAAGCAATAAAAAGAGGTAACAGTCAGTGTACCTACACTTAGCTGTGTTTCTAGCTTGGTCTTCTGTGCACTTGCTTCAGATACTGCTGCAGACTGCTGAAAACGATCCTCTGCCTGGGTACTCTTATTTTCTTTCTGTGAGGCCTCTGCTGCTGCGATTTTAAAGAGTAAACAGGGAAATGGAAAATTATAGTGCCTTTATATAACAATTAACCATTCCAAAAATCATCATACAGATCTCAGGACAAATAAAAATCTTTCTGCTAGTTTCCATGGGCAGTATTCACAGAAGTCACTGTTGTACTTGCAGAGTGTTTATTCAACTTTGTAAAAGTGACAGAAAACAACAAAACAAAGCATCCATACCTGCAATTTTGAGCTTTTCCTTTTGCCATTTAGAAATAATAGAAGTTCTCTGGAACCAACATCCTGCTCCCTCCACTTCCCACAAAAGGTTATGATCCTCAGGGTACTTCTCAAGATATTGCTTACAAGCTGAACAAACATAAGAAAAAACACTGTATTTTATATATATATATACACACACACACTTGACTGTACCTCAGTTTTTAAAGTTTATCTGAAATCAAATTAAATTTGCAGTCTTCCAGCATACACAAACCACCACAGAAAAAACTGTTAAACAAAACAGTTGAGTCTGAAATAAACATAATATTGTTTTACCCTACTCATCCTTCAAAATAAATCCTTCCTTCACTTTGAAAGATTTTCCATAGTTATCTTAAACTGCAAACAAAGACGCATGGGATGCTGCTCTTCTCTAAGCACCCACTTGAGAGTTTTACAACTTCACTGGTCACTGTCCCTGCCAATCGCAAGGCTCAACCTAGGATGGAAGGGCTCTTAAGCAGAGGACATAGTCAAGTGATTTTTGTCACCCCATGTTATTATAGGCATTCGTGAAAAGCACTCTTTTGGAATGCAAACATGTTACCATTGCATGGTTCATTATCCACTCACTGTTCACTTTTGGAATATTTTCTTCTCTGCTATCCCTCCACCTCTCTTCTCCCAATACACATACTAAACATCCATGTGGAGAGGCATGCTTTGACATTATTCTGTAGTAGCTACCAGGAAAACTACCGTTTTTCACCTGATTCACTATTGATGCATAATCTCAGTGGACAAGATCCCTACTGTATCATTCATTAGAATGGACTGGATGTACCAATGGATTTGGAATGTACCATTCATGGAAATGGATTAGACATTAAATTCTGCTCAAGACAGTTTGCTGGTTGAAGCCTAACAAACCAGGTCTGGTAAGATCCAACAACAGACAGTGGTACTGAGAAAGCAGAAAATTGCCAGTGGCTAAGAAGGCCAGATGAAAATGTTCATAAAAGGATGTCCAGCAGATGGCCTAAGAGTAGGACAAGTCTTGAGAAACAGAGCAAAGGAAATGTGCTTCTTGTCTGAACACAGCCCCAAGCAACATCATTTCTAGAATGCGTGTCATTACCTATACGACATAACCCTCTTGGGTTGCTAATGGAAGACCCCTAAGTGTTTTGCTTGTACATTAGAACTGTGCCTTCTTACACCCAAGTTAAAACATAGCCTAGTATGTCCATTTGACCAGAAGTTGTGAGAAAGCATTCATTAAACTACTTTGTGAGGCTTAGGTGTGAGCAAGAAAAAGGTGCTACTAAAGATATACATTAGATCACACAGAGAAACACCTCAGCCCATTCTGCAGCTTGGGGGAGACACAGCAGGAAGCTCCACAGTAGCAGAAAGCCAACAGAGATCCAGTAATCTAATCTCACGTAGAGGATTAAAAGTCTAATCAGAAACTACTTAATCTTAAACAGATCACAATTTTTAGCCTTTACTGAAGAGCAGAACATTAATATGGAAACTGAGGATGCAGCCACAAACATGGAGCTTGAATGACAGCACTCATTTGAATATGTAAAGAAAACAAAAAGATGATCAGTAAAGAGCTTGCCTGTGTACATGAAGGACGACAGCGGGTATCGTAGGCCAAGAGAGTCTGCAGAAAAGGAATGCACAAAGTCTTCCAACATGATTAGCCCCAAGTCTCTCCCACGATGTTTCTTTCTTACAAACATTGTGTCTAGCACTGGCAGCTGATAACTCTGACCATGGTAAGAGTTACAAACACTTCCTGGAATAATAGGAGGAGAAAAATATCCATCAGTACTTCAGCACTGACATGATGCAGCATGGATTTTAGCATATTCAAATAAAGACTTTTATAATTTATTAATATTATACCAAACTATATAATTGTAAGTTATATAAAATTATATTAAAAATTATAAAAATAATTTAGAACATTCATTAAAAATAAACAATTACTACCAGCCATTTATTGGCTCTTCAAGCAAGCTTCATAATGTTGCCAAGATTTATCAACAGATTAATATGTTAGAAAAAGTCTGTAGTACCAGAAAAGAATAGCAGAGATAGATAGGAAAGGCTCACTTTGAGATCTCACTATACAATTCCATCGGAAAACCATACTAAAAATGAAGCTGAAAGAGCAAGGAGGAAAAAGGACACAATAAAATTCTTGAATTGCACTTTTATGTAGATTATAATCACTCCTCAGGACAAATATGAAGACTATAATTCAGCTCTTGTTTAAAGACTGAAACAATAATTCCAATTTTTTAAAATGAAACCACAAGAAATCCTAGGACACTTTACATTGTAATTCTCCCATAAACACCACATTATCCATAATTAAACAAAGATGAAACAGACTGTCACAACACATAGGTACTTCAGTATCAGAGGATTCGAAGGGTAGATATGGACTCAGTGGTGAAAATGTGGCATGCCATATAATGGCATTAAGCTAGCCCATCAATTATCCAACCCATTTTCACACCCTCATTTTGGAGTCAGTGTGAACTATGCCAAAATCTTGCCCTTTCCTCTAAAAGGACCAAGGAGAAGCATACAGTTGTCTATACAACATAGTCTTTGCAACTTTGTCCTTCTGAGACCAATGAACATACTTATCTTCATTTATCAAGCAAGGAAAACATGGGCAGAGAGTTTACGTTACTTGAGTACCCTTCGGGATACCAGTCAAGCTCCACTACTCTTTCCTAACCATCTGTTTCCAGAGCTGCCTTTCTTCACGTAGACTACTCATTTGGAGAATACAGCACACAATCAAACATGGGTGAAGTATTGATAATGCCTAGAAAGATTAGCCTTCAGTGTTTGCTAACTCAGGACAAGTAAATGAGAAGGCATCATGAGAAGTGAGCAGGAATATAGCAAAACCCCATTGCCGCATGAAGTGTCCCCATTCTAGACTAAAAACAGAATCACTACTCCAATTTCCAGCTTTAAAAAGGCCACAACAAAAACCACTGCAATACTACTTTGTGACCACCACGCTATAGCAATTATTACATTAAAAATAATACTGAGATTTATACAGGTTATGCAATGCATAATTTCTTAAAAAAAAAACCAGCAACACACAGAAAAAAGATAACAAAGACAATCAGAACAAATTAGCTGGTTGCTTTCCTATCTTGATTGCCAGACCAGAATAGGTCAGTGACCCAGACAGTTTACTATTTTAATAGTTTGCGAAGGTGTGTATATATATATATATTTGTTAGATGGGGCAATTCTCCAGCAAGCCTCCAGTACCATCATTAATCCTAAATTAGTTAACCCCCTCTAGAGATGAAACAAATGCCAGACTGTTTCCCCTCAATCCAAATATTGATATTCTACAAAGTCCTACCAACATGCAAAACAGCCTACCCAAACACTAAATTTTATTCAGGAAAAAAAAACCCAAAAAACCAAGAAAACCACAAAAAATTCCTAAATAACCAAAGGGAGATTACAAAGTTTTAGAAAAACAGAAAAACAACAGGAAGTCTGTAACATTAATAACAAGCCTGCCAGCTTAATTGTAATCTGAGGGAACACGTGTGTGGAAGAAAAGGGAATCTCTTTTTGTTGTCACCAGGTGTGATAGCTGAATCTTATGCCTGTGAGCAAAGTTTCTATGCTGTTAAGTGATAATGACATCTGATTCCACAATCATTTCAGATAAACAGGATCTCTGCATTCTGGAACTAGGTCAAAAAAACCAAAAGAAAACCAAAACAAAAACAAAAAAAAACAAGCACAGCCCAGTCCAACCATAAACAATTGTTCCACAGAAAAAAAAAGGAAAAAACAAATTTTTTGGTATACCTCATTTCTACAGTTTTAAATACATTTTGCGGAATATGAAGAAATCTAAGAACTTTTAGATTGCTAAAGCACATAAGCATTTAAAAGCTAGAAGTTTTAACAGCAATCTGACCTCTTGTGATTTCAGGAAAGCACCAACTCACTAGGCCTACAAGGTTTGTAAAGTCTACTAAATACAATATTCTTGAAATAAGCTCCCTATCTCCCCTCCTGACCCCCTCAAATCCCACAATACTCAGGTGGTTTACCTGTAGGTTTAACAGAATAGAACCCAATAGCCTCTCCTTTTTTCCACATGATCTTAGCATAGTCATTGCTACCATGACAGAGAAAAGGGATCTCATTTCTTTCCATTTCTTGCTTCCGATAGATAATTCGATTCAGAACATACAGAACAATCCTCTCTCCAACAGACTTCACCTAAGGAGACACAGAAGAATATTTTAGAAGAGTGGTCAGATTAGTTGATACACATCAGGGACCTTATTTTTCAAAGTTGTCTGCAGCTGTGTTAACTGGCAGAGTCAAGAGAAGCTGTAAGTGCTAAGGCAGGATGAAACTCTGGGGTTTGAGGGCAAGGAGATGCTCAGAAGCCATAGCAACAGGTTAAGTATAAAGCACTACCATAGACAGAGGATGTTTCACAACTTCAGCGTCACTCTTAATCCGATAGGTAGAAGCTGAGAGAAGTGCTGGGAGTGGGGCAGTAGGGGGAATTTTTTGATTTTAACTCAAAACTATTTTTGGATTTAAGAAACATTCACAAAACACCATAGTAGTACACCAGCCTCAGACTTCCCAGGCTAGCAGGTAACAGAGTCCTACAGAGGAGAAATGATGAGCCTCACAGGGTAGCAGGACTTGGCACACTCAATCACTGCTGATAGTGGCAGACAACAGGACATGATGCAGTGGAAGAACTAGTTACCACAGTTTGTGGCATGAAACAAGGAACTCAATATCCTTTTCTCTGTCCAGCAATGTTCCTTTTACGTATGAAATTTAAATTCACCACTACCCTACCCACTGTGAAGTACGAATGCCCAGAGCCTCAGCTACTCTACCTTGTAAAAGATTCAGCTTTCCTGATTTAATCACCATACTACCATTAGGAAGCACATGGAAAACAAGACTACACACCAGGTTCTCTAGAGTAATTTAAAAAAATACAAATATCAAAGACAAGTGCCCAGATTCCATGAGCAGATACAAATTGTACCCCTGGAAAAATACAGATTTCCAGTTTTAGAAAAAAAACCCCACAAAACTCCATGCTACATAGGTGTCAGTAATGGTAACAAAGGTCAATCATAAGCAATAAAGCAGATACCAGGCAACTTACTTTCCCAAACCTATGTATTGCCACTGTAAGCCACCAGCTCTACCAAACAGGTTCCTGACAATATTTTTAGCTTACTAGTCTCCTGATAAGACCAATAGGTACTGCTACAGTACAACACACCACTCCACTAAGATGTTTCAATACAACCAGACATATGATGTTCTAAAGAATAAAGAAAAAACTCTTAACATCATTAACATCTAAATAGCTTACATATGAAGCTACTGTACAAGAGTCACTTTTGCCATAGACACTGTCTTGACAAAGAAGTTCCCTTCCACCTAATACATATTCCTCTACTCTCATTGACCTTGCCTTTGACATGAAACAGCCAACTCATTTCTGAATGAAATGAAGACATGTAACATCTCACACACTAGCTATTTGCCATTACTTTCCATTATCTTGAAGGATAAGAATAATTGCTAGGTGAATGTTGGAGTAATTTACCTGATGAAGCCCCTGTCTAGCCGTGACAGATGTTCTCACAATGTCATCAATTGACCACCACTGGTCAGCAAGATACAGGGCTACAGCTTGAAAGAAACAAGGGGAAATAAAAAGTTAGTGATTTTTACCATTCCAAAACAAACATATTCATTAAAGCTGCTAAATAGTTAGGAATAACACTGTAGTAACCAAGTTAAGCATCTTCTAGTTGGCACTGTATTAATGCAGCTCTTCCTACACTAGCACAACAAATGTGGTGCTATACACCCTCCCATATGTGATGCTCCCCAGTCCAAAACTTGTCTGAAACTGAGGACAATAATACCAAACACAGATTTTGTGCAGTATGACACCCAGGAACTGTTTTTCAGACATAAGCACTATCCTTCTTCACTGTGCTGTAGCACCTCCTTCCACCAAAAACTGGGCCTGCCAAGAAGAGTCTCATTCATACATGTATTTTAGTTTTGGGTTGCTAATGGATATTGATATTGAAACTGGGCAAGTTTTAGGGAGTCAGATGAATGTAAAAAGGCTGATGGCCATACGATTAGCAATCAAGAAGAGTTTGATCTATGGGCATTTGTGGCAAACTTGGCAATCATATACATGGCATTAAACAGAAAGAGAAGGAAACATGGAGGACTGGAAGGGAAGGAAGAAAGGGAGAAAAAAACAAACCAGTGAGATGTCACCTTAGCCCGAGCTATGTTAGGACCTAAAGCTAAAGATGAATTTAAACTTGATGCTGATCAATCACCACTAATAAAAAGCATCTAAATTCATGGGCAAATTAATGGATTCTGTGAATGCCCAATAAATTCCTTCCGGAGAGGTGAGGTGTACATAAAGAGATCAAGAGATATATGTTGTACTTGGATTCAGACAAGCACTATGTTATTTTGCTATATACCTTCTGAATTCAGTGGGTCTGGTTCTATTCTGACTAGCATGCAAAGTTCTATCACTTGTGTGTATAAATCCACAACAAAAATAATAGTATGGAAACAAGAACACAGTGAACAACAAATGCAAAAGTGGCAAAGTTACGAGCTACACTAGCATGGAATGAGCAAGGGCCTGGTTGCATGTATTTGTCACAGAAAAAGAAACAGCAACACAAAGATTAAAATCTTAAAATGAAACCTGTGAGCGAGTCCCCTGGTGCAAACAAAGCGAGAACTTTGTGTGTCTGCTCTTGACCATAAAGAGGAACGAAGCCCACAGTTGATAAACTAATAGGAATCTGAAACAAGAGCGTACAGTACTTAATAGACTCTTCTTAAAACAACATTAGTAAAATATATATAGCAGGATAAGCAAGGTGAATGTTGAAAACCGAGTGCTTAACAGTTAACTGTAAAGGACAAGCATCAGACCCCAGCCCTTCCTTTAGACATTTCTTTCTAAAGACACTCTGTTATAAAGAGCTCTGACTCTCAAGCTCTGGCAGATATAGCTACAGTGATTTATACTGTTACAGCTCTCTGCTGTCAGCAGTTTGCATTTATGTGCACAACTGAAGTAAAGTGTGCACAGAACCAGCAGTATGTTCACTTGAACTGCTCCAGCTGTGCAAGCTGTCAAAGCCAACAGAACGAGGCAGGCAGTCAAGCAAAGAAACAAACTGGCACAGTGAAATTGCTGTTTGTTAACAAGAGCCCTAATGCACTAAGGTGGGAAGGCTGCATTCAGAAGGGCTTTCTTCCCTTAAATTCCATAGGTTTTAGAAATTCCAAACTTGTCTGCTTGATTTCCCCTCAGGAGCAACATGAGAAGGATCAAATCAATCCACCTTTCAAGAGCTGACTACTTCTGTGGAAATGCATTTTGATATTTAAAATCACATGTTTTCAATATTTAATTAATACATAAAAACTAGACAGACATTAATGATTTGGTAAATAGACTTGCTTACCCAATTTAAGAAGATTATGATATACTATGCCATAAATGAGGATCTTAATACAAACAAATATTTAGGCATACAGCACCTGCAGAAATGCAGAAAAGTACTCAAGACTCTGCTTCTGCCAAGGAATCTGCAGCATTGACCTTGTGTTCCCACATAGAATCCTCTCAGCTCACTTATTTTCCATTAAATTTATACACCATTGCTTTTATTGGTACTAGTTCTAATAGAAACATTCATCTAGAGGTAGAACCAACATCGACCAACTTATCACACCAGGGACAAGTGTTTAAAACACAAAGTGTCACAGCCAGCCTCTACTAGAACTCCCAACAATAGCAGGGAGTATTTCAGATAGAAAGAAAAGAATCACCTCTGAAATTAGTGAAACTTGCTGATCAAGAATTGAACCCAATCAAGAACACTGAAGGACTGACATACAAAAAGAGCCAGTTAGCTTCAATAAATCATGAACCCCATAGTTACGATGATACGATTTTTGTGACTGCAAGAGTTAGTGATTTTTAGGAAAGGGTTTGACTCACCAGCTGAAATTTTAAAGTTTTTTAAAAATTACTTAATGCATACAGATCCATTGCCTAGAAGCAGGAAATAGTCACTGATGCCCAGATTTAAACCCAATTACAGAATTAAAAAAGGTAGAGTTTAACACACAAACAGAAATTTGGAAAGTACAAAAGGTTTGCTAAAATAATTATGCAATTCAATAGTTATGGACTGGCTATTTTAAATCTTAAATCTACAAGTATATCAAGAAAACTGGGACTAAGGCATTTGTTGGTTCTTACTTTGCGGTGGTCTGGCAGAGACAAGAATTCAGGACAGTCTGGATTCTTATACCGAAGGCCAGACATGTAGACCTCTGCTGAGCTCTCCAAGTCCTGATGACTGCAGGTCTTCAACATATCCACAGGGAATGACATCCTCTTGAGAAATAAGCAACATTATTACTGTAGGTAATCTGAGAGATACAATGCACAGTTTATCACATATTCCAACTAAACAGGTAACTAAGACTGTTGAACACCCTCCTGCTGCTCTCTAGAGCCCTCTATATCCAAGCCAGAAAGGAGAAATGCTGCAGGCATTTAATTAGGATGGTGCCTATTAACGCCCAGTCTGTAAAACAATACATAAAACCAATCTGTATTTATAAGCAGAAAAGGATGTGTTTAGCCCACGGATCGCCCTAGACCCAAACGTGGAAGATTTCTAACATACAAGCCCCCTGTTTGCAGCACATGTACAATAGACCACATGCTGCCTTGAGGTGGCAAGGCTCAGTTATCTCCCTCCCAGCTGATGTTTTTGAGGCTACAGATTAACCAACAAGTGGCCAGTCAAATAAAAAGTAAACAGCCTGAAAGATAACAAGAAAGAGAAGTTAATTTATTTTGGAGACTTTGCATTTAAATCCAGCTTTGAAGAAACCAAAGCATTGTTCAGAACCTCTCTCAACTGGCCAGTTAGTGCACCTACCAACTGGTTGTCTCCAAAAGCATTTCCACTGTGAATGTCACCTAATCAGAAAGTAACTCCCGAAACACACAAAGTATGTTTAGAGAGGAGACATTGCTTTACTCTGCGCAGGATGCAAGGTGGAAGATTTCCACAAATCAAGCACACCTACTGAGGTTTTTAGTTCATATTTGTACACTACAGTTAAAACACCACGCCTATCTAATACATATGTTCTGCCTAGCTATTGCATATTCATTATGTTAAGCAAGAGCACAACATGTTGTTCTCTTAAGCAATCATCCCAGAGTCTTCTACGCCTGTGCAGGGGGTCTCTGGTGGTCTTCAGTAGTCATTTGGGGAAGAACACCCCTAATCATTTTGTCCTTTCATGGTCACGTGTCATCTGAGGACACCAGGGTCTTAGTTTCTCTTGCCAACCCCTGGTTTCTCAATGCTGAAGGAAGATGTATGTCCTTAATTACCAAGTCTGTGACTCTTTAAGCATCCTCTATTGTAAGCAGAACCTTAAACTAGATAAGCTTTACCTTGAGTACACATAATCTAAACAGTCCTTGAGTAGCAAACATACCACACTTCTCATGTTTTAGGGTTTTTTTCTTTAAACTATCACCTCCACCTTCTTATTTGTTAATCAGTCTTTTGAAGGCTTGAGGCAACAATTGCCCCCCTTTGGAAGTTTTAAATATTTTATTTGAGACTTCCAAGATCTTTAATCATCATTATATTCCAGACAAGCAGAGTCCACACAGCTGCTTGTTTCATGCATCTAATCAGCACTGCAATGATTACTATCACTACTATTATAATAATCACACTCTGGATCAAACTAGCTTAACCATCCTGTAAGGGACCATCTACCTATGCTTTGTGGAATTTTGTTTATCCAATTGTTTTCAGCACTTTCTTGCAATTCTTTTGTCACCTCCCTAATTTGGTCAATTTGTTTATCTAGATCTTTAGTCATATTGGGAATGTGGACACAACAATGTTCCTTATCCAATTTGAGATATCCGCATAGTCCCTTTTCTTTGGCCAACAACAAATCTAGAGCTAGGCAATTTCGTAAGTTCATCTCACTATTTGCTTGTATCTGTTTATTTACTATAAGCAATCCTTTTTCTGTTGCATTTGCTAAACTGTTCATTTGCCAAGTGACGTTAGTGAATAATACTCAGTTTTCAAAAGCTATTATTCTGGGGGTTAAAATTGCTTCCATGGCCCATCCTACTTTTGTGGCTGTTGAGGGGCCATGCCATGGGTCTACATTTGACTCCCTTTTAACCGTTCCCCATAGTTGAGGAGTCAGAGGATTCTTTCTCCACAATGGGCATAATGTTAACAGCCCTAGGGTAATTTGATGATCTGGGATATCAAGATGAAGTCTATTTGTCCAAGTCCCATTACTTAAAATCCACACAGTGTGAGATGGTTTTTGTGTGACATTGGACTTGTCTTGGGACTACTTCTTGTTTCTCTACAATTAAATTTCAACATTGACATCCAATTCACAATGCTTTTTCCACCCGTTATGTTTTTCAAAACTCCCATATGAGAGCAGTTGAACACCTGAGTACAATTCCATTCAGGGGCATATGCTTCATCCTTGGGATTCATGATAATCTTGTCATACTGATTGCTAGTATTTATAAATTGTTCTGTCCATTCAAAACACCATGGATTAAGGTTCATATCCATCTTTTGACCACGTCTCAGGCTGTATCTTCCATGCGGCTTCTCCAATTTGTTGGATCCTTGGGTGTAGGACAGTTAACCTTTGGAGTAGCTCAAACTCTCCTGTTCCAGGTCCTCCAGATTAAGTATAACAGAAAGATAAACCTGTCTTATAATTGCTACCTGAAATATATGTCTTGTCCTGTATGAGGTAGCAAGTCACACTTGCTTTTAAGCTTTTGCTTAAGTTTACCAGTGGTGGCTCTTTCAACGCAAGAATTCCCCATTCTACTGGATTTTTGCTGGAATGTGGAATTGGTATACAAGTAGTAATACTCATAGTGTTTTGTAATTTGCCAAACAGCTGAATCAATTTCAAAATTAAATTATCTTCCAATCCCTTAATTTTTCTTAGTATCATTAAATTAATGATAATTAAAATTTTGGATTCCATATTCCTATCAAAATCATGAACAGATTATCACAATAGTAAAAAACATACTGTGCCCTACTCCTGAGTACAATTTATGAATTAACCCTTTTAAATTTTAGATAAGAGAATTCTCTTTCTGTTTTTCCACAATCCACTTACCTGGAAGGAGTCCCTTCTTGATAATGGATCCAGGGTCCCACTCTGTTAAGTTTGACTGTAGTATATGTAGTTAGGAGAATTTGAAAGGACCCTTTCAAATCTTTCTTCAGAGGTTCGTTGTTCCAAGTTTTTAAATAAACCCAATCTCCTGGCTGAAATTCATGAACTGCAGTATCCAGGCCCAGAGGCGTCCTTAATTGCAGATACCTGGTAAGAGAAGACAGAACCTTCCCTAGAGAAATCACATACTCTTTAACATATTGTTTCCCTATTAATTCTGTAGATCCTAGCTCATGATTCATGCTTTGATAAGGTTTCCCATATAATATCTCAAAAAGGCTAAACTTTTCCTTAGATCTTGGTGTAATTTGCACTCTCAGTAATGTTAAAGGGAGAGCTTCCAGCCATTTCAACTGAGATTCCTGACAAATTTTATTAAATGATCTCAGTTTGGTTCATTCTTTCTACTTTCCCACTAGACTGCAGCCTCCATGAGGTATGCAAGTCCCATTCAGTTTGTAAAAATTTAGATTCCCCTTGGACTATTTCTGTTACAAAGTATGGTCCTCGATCTGAGAACCCTCCCAGTACCCTGAAACTCAGAATGATTTCTTTCAATAAAACCTTTACTACTTCCCTTGCCTTGTTGGTGCCACACAGGAAAGCTTTGGGCCATCCTGAGAAAGTATCCACAATCACCAGTAGATATTTATATACCTTTGTGAGAGACTGAAAGAGTTAATGTCTCAAACATTGTGGTGGGGCAAGTTCTGCATAACAACAAAATCTGCCTAGCAACAAACCCTGCATAGCAAGGAACCACTGGTGAAAAGAAGCTGATCAGCACAGGAAATATGCAACAGTATGGGGAGGGCATGCCAGAGGGTACAGAGCTCCATGTTCTGATATGCTGAGCAGTGCAGCTCACTATGCATGGCCAAATATCAAACAATGGTCAAAACGTCTACAGGAAAGGAGAAGTTACTCCCCAAACAAAGCCCAAGCCCACCAACCCATTTCCTCAAAGGTTCTGAAAGCACAAATCACACGACACCTAATTAGCCTAATGAGTTCGAGTGCCTGCCTGAAGGATGGACAAGGTTGATAAAAGGACAAGAATTGAAGCCCCAAGTGCACATACCCACCAGAACTGGACCTTTAGATCAACGCTGGACCCAGGACTGGTAAAATCTTTTTCTCTTTTCCTCTGTCTCTCTCTCTCTCCTTTTCATAATCCCTACACCTCATCCCTTTAAGACACAAAACCACTGGCCAAGTCTGGGACTAAGAGTGGATCCAGCCACCCCTAGGCTCCTCTCTGAGAAGCACTCTAGAAAGTAAGGGGGTCTGCTCTGAACCTCATGACTCAATGGGAGGGATCTCTTTATTCCCTGAATTGATGTATATGGTTAACACAGGTTACACAGCTTACTGAGGTAGTTCCATGACAATTCCTGTTGTGAGAAACCCCGCCACCTGCTGTTATGCCTCCCAAGTTCACTTTGCTTCTGCCATGAATAAATTGTTTAACTGATTGTTTGGTGTCATTTCACCTTAATTTAACCCGAGGGAATCCTGAATTCAGCACAAGTCCCTGGTCTGTCCAGCCCAGGTCATGACACCCTTACAATCAGGTAGTTCAAAAAAATTGATTTGCCAGTAGTCTCCAGGTGTCTAATTTTCTTACCTCTTCTAGGGGGGGCCTTTCCTGAATTTTAGGTTTATTCTTTAAACAAATTTCACATTTCTGTACAATCCTTTTAGCTACTAACAACATATTAATTTCCACAGCATATAATCTGGTTGCCTCAAGCAAAGCTTCAACTCCCATGTGTTTACTTTTATGCATCCTTTCCATTAGCTCTTTCATTATAGGACAGGCAATGGTTCCACTTCCTTCTCCAAAGTCACAACAGCATACCCGGCCTTCCATTCCCCTTTATTTACAAAACTACTTCCATCAGGGAATAGCTCCCAACCAGGATGGTGCAGAGGGGAGTCCTTTAAATCTGGACAGCTAGAATATGCTTGCTCAATGGCCTGTAAACAATCATGTCTTAATCCTTCTTCTCGAGAGGGCAACAATGACACTGGATTTAAAGTATTAGATATTTTCATTACCACATCCTCTTGTTCAAGCAATATTGCATGATACAATACTATTCTGCTCAGAGACAG